AAAAAGACCAGACTTACTGGTCAGACAGAGACTGGAGGAACCTCCGAGAATATAGCCCCTAGACACCCCTCTAACTCAGGACTGAAGCCACTACCGAACTTCACCTTTTAGCCAAAGATTAGACAGGTCTATAAAACAAACAATACATGTGAGGACTGTCCTTCTTGGATCAATCAAGTATATGACACAAATGGGCAACACCTGCCCAAAAGCAAAGACGAGAAGGCAGGAAGGGACAGGAAAACTAGACTAATGGAAATGGGCAACCTGGGGTAGAAAGGCGGAGAGTGCTGACACATTCGTGACAACCAATATCATGAAACAATCTGTGTATAAATTTTTGAATGAGAAAATAATCTGCTCTGTAAACTTTCACCTGAAGCACAATAAAATAATTAAGTAATTAATTGTTAATTGATTTATAACAAGAGTATGAAGTCCATTCAATGGGAAAAGAATACTCTTCTCAACAAACAGTACTGAGACAACTGGGTTTCCACATTCAAAAGAATGAAGTTGGACACCTACCTCACACCATATATAAAAATTAACTCAAAATGGATCAACAACCTAAATATAAGACCTAAAACCACAAAACTCTAAGAAGAAAACATAGGATTAAATCTTCATGACTTTGGATTTGGCAATGAGTTATTAGATTTTACACTAAAATCATGAGCAACAAAAGAGAAAATAGATAAATAGGACTTCATCAAAATAAAAAACTCTTGTGCATCAAAAGCCATTTTCAAGAAAGTGAAAATACAACATAGAAAATGGGCAAAATATCTGATAAGGGTTTTAATTTCCAGAATATATAAAGAACTCCTACAACTCAACAACAAAAAAACAATTCAATATGAAAATGGGCAAAGGACATGAATAGACATATCTTCAAAGAAGATATACAAATGGCTATTAACCACATGAAAAGATGGTCAATGTCATTAGGGAAATGCAAATCAAAACTACATTGAGATAACACTTCATAACCACTAGGATGGTTATTACCAGAAAAACAGAAAATAACAAGTGTTGACAAAGATATGGAGAAACTAGAATACCTGTACATTGCTGGTGGGAACGTAAAATGGTGCACCCACTGTGGAAAACAGTTTGGTGGTTCCTCAGAAAGTTAAACATAGAATTACCATATGACTCAGCAGTTCTATTCCTAGGTATATACCCAAAAGACAAGCAAGGACTCAAACAAAGACTTGTATACCAATGTTCGTTGCAGCGTTATTCACAGCAGCCAAAAGGCTGAAACAACCTAAGTGTTCATCAACAGATAATAGATATATAAAATGTGGTATATACATACAATAAAAAAATAATTTGACCATAAAAAGAAGGAATAAAGTTCTGATATGGATTCTGATAAAGTTCTATGACACGGATGAACTTTGAAAAAATTATGCTGAGTGAATAAGCCAGGCACAAAAGGAAAAATATTGTATATTTGATATACGTATGAAACATTTAGAATAAGAAAATTCACAGATATGCAAAATAGATTAGAGGTTACCAGGAGCTGGTATGGGAGGGATTAATGGAGAAGCATTGCCGCATGGGTACAGAGTTTCTGTCTGGGGTGATTAAAAAGGTTTGCATACGGATAGTGGTGATGGTTACACAACACTGTAAAAGTAATTAATGTCATTGAACTGTCCACTTAAGAAGGGTTAAAATGGACAATTTTATGTTATGTATATATTTTATCACAATAAAAAAAAAAACTTTAAAATAATGAACGGATTAATAAATTCTTTAAATTTATATGATTAATAACCAAATTTCCACTGAATTTTACTGGTCTATTTTTGAGGTGTTAAAGTCCTTTAATTTAAAAAACTTAATTAAATTATTTTTATAATAAAAGGAATTAAAGAGGGTCAAAAACTGTTCTTCTCTTTTCCCACCTCTCCTCCCCATTCCATTTTGCTTCAGTTATCCTCTTCAATGTAGAAAAATCAAAATTTCAGTTATTATTATCACGTACTTCAAATACAGCCAACCTGAGGGCTGGAGGTTATCAGTGACCTCTTAAAAACTCCTGGCATTACAACACTTCATTACAGCAAGAACAAGGAGTTCCTAAGTGCTGGATTCAGTCAACTGAAAAATATATTAACCTCAAGAGGCTGTCGTATGCTGACCTGAGTTTTGAAGTCTTTTCCCCATATGTACGGATACACTTAGAAGCCTCCAATCTTTTCCAAATCTCAAAGAGATTCTAATCCAGGATAAAAGACTTCTGACTTTAATTTGTCCACGTAATATATTTTAAATAGGTTTGGTTAGATAAGTGCTGGGCCAGGAGAATTGGGATGGTCTCATTTTAGCTGAAAAAAAAAATTTTTAACTCAGAATTTCCTGAATGTATTTGATTGAATGTGCTAGTACGTCTAAATTCTTTGGCCTGGACTTCCATTAAGTCATTAACGGCAATTAATTAATTAATTAGTGGCAATTAAGTCATTGCCACTAGTGCTGTTGTTATTACATCATAGAGTTGTTGTAACATAGCATTTGATAAGCTACTCATGGGAGACTTTCCCAACTCCTTCCTCTCCCAGTTAATGATAGAAAGGGTCCAAGTTGCGCAGGCAAGCAGAGATGCCACACAGTTTGTTCACTTAGGGTCTCCATGTAAGAGAGGTGCATATGAACTCCTTCTGCAAGCCAGGCACTGTGACAGGGTTTCCTTCTAAAAGAGTGGAATACACAGACATTCATGGACATGATGTGATTTTCGCACCAAAGCTCCACAGTCATCAACGGTGTCTCTCAGCCTTGCAGCTAACAGGGACAGCTGCAGAGCCTGTACCCCCTTCACTCCCTATCCTCTGCTTCCAGACCTGAGCCAGGACTGAGCCCAGCCTGTCTGACCCTGAGGAAGACATGGGCCCTGGGTCTACACTGCAGGCTCCAGTTCCTGCTCCACCCTCTACTACTTGTGTGGCTTTGGGCAGGTCACTTAACCTACTGACCCCTCTGTAAACACAACCACAAAACAATCCATGCAGCAGAGGGAACAACGCCCAGCATAAATGTTGCTTTTTCTCATCAGTGTTACTACCACACCATGATGATTTGATACTCACGAGCTCACTCTGTTGTTAGATGCCATCAGGTGGGCTCTGACTCATGGTGATCTTATGTATAACAGAATGAAACACTGCATGGTCCTGTGCCACCTTCTAGCACTATACTGGACAATATTCATGACCTCACTCAGGAGCACCAAAGAAGAAATGCGGTAAGCCAGGATGAAGGAAACAACCAGTGTCCCTTCCGTGCATTATTACTCTAGTTTGTCCACTTTTAGAAGCAAGCCCCCTTTAAGGAGCCACCTGGTTAGGCACATCCCACACACCAGCAGTGGGCGGAAGCCCTGGCCTCACGCAGACACTACACTCTCAGGTCCCTAAGGGGGGCTCTCCCCAGGAGGTCGTCCATTGGGTCCTGGTCACCCCAGAATGCACTGCCAGGTAGCTCTCTAAAGCACAGCTCCGACACCTCTCCCAATCTTCCTGAGTCCATCTCTCCAGATAGCACGTCCTCCAGCAGCCCCTGCCTGGGGTGCTCCTCCTGTCCGTCCTCCCAGGCCCAAGCTGACCACAGTCCCTTTCTGGGGACCTTCCCCACCCTTTACACCTCTCTCCACACCAAGAGCACGTTATAACAGCCCTTCCTCAACACCTGCCGTGTCACACTCATGCAGCCCACACCCGCTGCTGCCATTCCCTTGCTTGTCCAGGGCCCTGCCGCTGGGCTCAGGCAGGCATCTAGGGAGGCTCCCTCCTGCCCTGCACGTGCTGTGGCAGACCACATGCACTCCTGCAGGAGGTGCTCACAGGCGCCCGCACCTCCCCTGCAGCCAGCCCACCAGGCCTGGCGCCCCCAGGCTGGTGCTGCTGCTTTCTAGCAGCCTGGCCCTGTGGCTAGCGGTTCCCTGCCAAGGCCCACAGCACAGCACTCCTGAACTGCTGCTAGCAAGCCTCCACGTCCAGGGAGGCAAAGCCTCCTCCTCCTCTCTGCACTCCCTACTCCCCTGCTCCCACACGGAGGTGCTCTCTCTCTCTCTCCCCACAACCCACCTGGTGCTCTCCTGCTCCTGGCCTCTCACTGAACACTCTCCCACCACTTTATACACTGTATCTGCTTATCGACTTCTCACCCCAGATGGTCATCTTCATTACCAACCTCCAGACTCAGTGTGGTGCCTGATTCTCCCTCCTGTCACTGTATAATGCTTACTGTGTGCCGATTCTCTGCCCAGCCCTGGCCTGTAAATCATACACACTCTTGAGTATTCTTCCTATACTGACCACCTCCATTCTCAGTGAGACAGGGTTCATTATTGAGCCCATTCTGCAGCTGTAGAAACCGAGGCTTAGAAGAGTTCAGCACCTGGCCTGGAATCCCAGACTGTGAGTGGCCCTGCAAGGACCCATACCCAGGTGGTCTCACTATAAGCCCTGCTGTCCCTTACCTGCTGCACCGCCACTCACAGACACTAATAAGTATTTGTCAAATGGATGAACGACCAACCCCTTCCAAGTGGTGGCGTCTAGTCCCTACCCTGTCCTAACTCTGATGGGCACGTCTTCTGCTCAGCCCCACCTGGCCCTTCTTCCCACCCTCCAAACCTGCTATCAGGAAGCCTTTGTCAAAATGTTTGAGAGTATAAGATCCAAGGGAAGGGCCTCTCCACTGTCAATTTCACCGAGAGCTAACAGTGGTGAAAAGTCCGACCCACCCAGTCCTGGTACCAACATCTTATAAAAAGTCAGACCCACCCAGTCTTGGTACCGACCCACCCAGTCCCGGTACTGACTTCTTGTAAAAAGTCAGACCCGCCCAGTCTTGGTACCAATCCACCCAGTCCTGGTACTGACTTCTTGTAAAAAGTCAGACCTGCCCAGTCTTGGTACCGACTTCTTATGAAAAGTCAGACTCGCCCAGTCCCAGCACCCTGTCCCACGTCAGCTCACCTTGCCTCCCGGGCATCCTGCTGGGGCCCTCTCCTGGGTCCTGCAGCCTGCCGCTGGCCCGAAGCCGGCTGCCCACTCCGTCTGGGGTTGCAGCACCGTTGGTCTGACTGCCCAGCGTGTTCATGTGGGTTGGGAGGGGCTCGAAGGTGGGGTCCAGCTCCAAGATGAGCCTGTTGAGTTGCTCAATGGACTGGTCGATGTCCAGGGTCGGGGAGCCTGGTGAGAGGACTGGGTTCAGCTCCAGGTCAACCCCGTTCATGGCATTTTCATTTGCAAATACAGGTTTGAATGCTTTGCTAGGAGGGGGCAGCTGTGTTTCTGGGGGATTCGGCCCACTGCCTACACCTCTCTGGACGACCACTCTGCTGCTAGCCCCGCGGGTGGGGTTGACTGGCACTCTGGGCTGGGCCGGGATGAGGCCAGCATTCTCGGCTGTGCCGCGGCTGACGAGCCTGGCCTCTCCATCGGGTGAGAAGCTGTACTGGTGTGCAGCCACCATCTGCTGCTGGCGCACCCAGGTCTGTGTGGAGTAGCCGCTCTGCCCGTAGGTCTGCGTCTGTGCCGACACAGACGGCTTCTTCAGCAGGGCCGGGGGCTGTCTGGGCTCCCGGTTTCCAAAGGACCTCTCGTAAAGCAGCTCCACGCTCATGCCCAGGTCTGGGCCAAGGCTGCCTGGTGGGTCTTCACCAGTGTTGCTGCCAAAGCCATCAGACAAGAGGGAGTTCTGGCTGCTCTTGTGGCAGGTGAAGGCGCCATGGTGGGCCAAGGGCTGCCCCTCTGAAGAGGACAACGTCCCTAGGCTGTCCACACTGTGCAGGTCGTGGTTGGGCATCTCGTCATCCAAGATGTCTGTTTCCCGGTCTCGCAGCTTGGCGTCCCCATTAACGTGGACCTGGGCTGGCACAACATGGCGGGTCCCACTATACTTGCTCTGAGCATCAGTCATATCCTTGAATGAGTTCTCAGACTCTTCTAGACCAAAGCCACTGAGAAGCTGGTCTAGCTCGGCCTTCTCCTGGGGGCTCAGGCCCCTCTTGGCGCCGGGAGCCAGGCGCTCTTCAGTCTTGTCAGTCCTGACTGAGGCGGTGGAGTGGCCTGAGTCGCTGCTGACAGACAGGGTGTGGTCACTGTGGTCTGGGCTGTGGGTGGCCAGGACAGCCTGGGGGCCACCCGGGATGCTGGGATCTGAGGTACTCTTCTTCCTCACCTTAGCATAGAGACTGCCGTCGACGGGGCCCTGTGTGTGCAGCACTGTGGGGAGAGAGCAGAGGAGGAGCTCAGGTACAGGTGAGAGTGGGCTTCAGAGTGGGCTTCAGACCCATCTGGAATGAATTATACATAAATTCATAATATAACATAATAAACAGGACAAGGACTCCTCTCAGATACCTAAATTCTATTCATAATCCAGCAAAGCAAAGTATTAAACGAGAAGAATTAAAATAATCAAACGTCTTCCAGAGCTAGAATTATTTCTACCTTTCTATGCAAAGAAAACTGTCACCAAGAGTCCCTCCGGAATTCCCTGCACTTCAAGTCATCTCTCTTTCAGTGGCTTACTGTTAATTCCATCATGATTTTGAATGCATAACACAGCTCAGCTCATCAATCCCCAAGAGTCCACTGTTCCTGTATGACAAAGGAGAGCTTCCAGTCATACATTTGTCTGACTAACATTTCTTGAATGCCTACTATGTGCTGCCTAACAGATTCTTAATGCACAGAACATCTGATAAACAAATCAGCCCCTTCTCTCATGTTCCACAATCTGTTAAAGTCTAAACATAAGCCTTGCTACTCAGCGCAGCACCTATGGGCCATGTAGGTGCCCATGACCTCATGGCAGGACCACCTGGCACTTGAGGCTGGTTTTCATGCCCTGATCTCAGTCAATCTGGAATGTCAGGAAAACAAAGCTGAGGCCTGAAATGTGGGTGGGAAAAGCTGAATGCTCTGTTACTATGATTAATTACAGCACTGATGATGGCACCCGGCAACTCCCCGAGCCATAAACTGCTGACTGCTGACATTCATCACCCTTGGCCATGCATCTCAACCTCCAGCACAGCGCCTCCTCAGCTGTCTGCTCAGAGACCTGCAGCCCTCCTCCCTCCAGTCTCCTCCACCTTGTCTGCTTTCTCAACTGTGAGGTTGCTGGCATACCACAACAAGCAGCTGCTGATGGTCTGCAACCTCACAGTGCGCAGGCACCTGGGGCTTTGGAGGCATGAGCCGCACATATCCCACGTGACAGGCCTGGCTTCTGAGCTGTCCTGGAGAACCCGGCCTTGAGAACATGCCCCAGTGATGGAAGGTGGAGACCTCGGGCTACGGTCCCTACCCGAACCTCACTGACCTCATCCTGAGGCAGAGCTCAGGGGTGAGGGGGTGTTAAAAATGTAACAAAAAATGCTGTAAACCTTGCTCTTCAAAATAGGCAACTGGTGACATGAACTCAGGAGTAAAAGGCCATCCTTTGGATTCAGCCTTAGGACGAATGTAAGGTAATAGTAACAGGGGTATATGCCGTCTATAGTGCATTCTCCAGGTGGTGAAAATAGTTAACACACTCAGCTGCTAACTGAATGGCTGGAGGCTCAAGTCTACCCAGAGGCGCCTCAGAAGAAAGGCTTGGCCACCTACTTCCAAAAAATCAGCCCCTGAAAACCCTATGGAGAGCACTTCTACTCTGACACTCCTGGGGTCTCCATGAGTTGGAGTCCACTCGATGGCAACTGGTTTACTGGTTTTATACGGCAGGCACATAACCATATTTTCTCTAATTTTCACACTATAAAAATTTGATATTGCTATTCTGGTTTTATCAATAAAGGACCGAGGCTCAAAGAGAATATATAACTTGTCCAAGTGAAGGCTGCTGCTACGAAGCGGAGGTGGGGCTAGAACCCAGGTCTGTTGGCTCTGGAGCTTGTGTGTACTCCTGCTGCACCATGCCGCCTACCTCCTCAGAGAGTCGGGCCCTGAGTCTGTTTCCTATTCATAAGTGAGGTGGCACAGAGGTCACAACACTCTTTAAAGGGCTTCAGCAAGTGACCTTGGGAATTCTTCAGAACAGGCATGGACGAAAACACCTACTTCACAGAGCTCTGAGCAAATTAAACGAAAGGACACCTGGAAAGACAGCTCCAAATTACAAGGCACGTGTAAATGTCACCATACAGATCTGACACCGATATACTGACTCATTAGTTCAAGCGTGAAGACATGGGGAGCATGTGCAAATGCAACAGCCCAGCTGAAAACGCCTGGGACCAGGTCTGAACCAGCACATCCCAGCTCTGCCACAGACTCCCCGTCATTGTTCCACCAACTCGATGAATCACTTCGAGCCTCAGGTTTCAAGCTATGAATGTGGGTGTGGGGGCAGACAGTTCTACTGAAGGTCTGACATGAAAATTAAGAGATAGTACCCAGATAAATATCTTTATAGGCCCTGAGTAAATGCCAGGCTAATTGAGCTCCCGCTATGGAATGAATCTCTGCTTACCACGAAAAATCAATGAATATAAGCCCCGGGCTTTACCTTCTATTCTGCAGGGTGCAAGGGAGGAGGAGGAGGCTCCAATAAACGGCTTTGCTCTGTAGGAATCACATAGACGCCCCCACCCTCACGGGGGGGCCATCTGCCGGAACACAGAGCACAGACCACAAGGCCAAACAGCCACAGGGAGCAGTGTTCCAATTATAACCACAGAACTAATGTGGCTAAGATCACATGCCCATAACTTCCACATCGCTCCCCCTAAATATGAATAAAAATGGGCCAACTCTGTGACTTGAAGGGGAAAAAAAAAAAACCCCAAGAATGAGTTGTAAAAAAATTCCTCTCGTTTGAATTGAGATACTACCAAAAAGTGCCTGTTAGTCATTCTGAGGTGGAATCCATTGGCCAGTCCCACAAGGAGGACAGTACCGACGTGAAACAGTAAGTGACAGGACATTCCATTGGCTGCGAGTTATGAGTAATCATAGTTTTATTATTTTTAATATTAGTAGAAATCTTAAAATAATAAATACAGTAAGAGCAACACAATTACCATTTATTGAAGACTCTCATTATATGCCAGGCCCAGTTCTGAGCATTTAAAAGCACCATCTCACTGAATCCTGACAACCTAGGTGGAGGGGTGGTGTTAACAACAGCCTTTCTACAGAGGAAATGGTGGAAAATGGTTGACAGTCCCTAAGAGCACAGCACTATGGTGGGTAGGGGCCAAGCCCAACACCACCCAAAGCAACAAGGGCCACCATGCTGGGCTCTTTCTACACACCACGCACATGGATCACTTTTCAGATACGAAGTGGTCAATGGATATGATGTCTACACTAAAAGAATATGAAACAAATCCAGTTCATTCCCAAGATGGAACCACCCAAACTTCTAAATCACCTAATATGAGCAAACGCAGCCCTCAGAGGAAAAGGCCCCATGTGCAGGGGCTGTCATGGCCTGCCTTAGTAAGCAAAAAAAGCCCAGAACCAACCAACCAACCAGAAACAAACTAATAAGCAAACCAAGGGGTGAAACCAGAAGTGTCCCGGCACCCATGGCTGTCTGCAGTCCCAGGGGGTCCCCCACTCTTGCACCTCAAAGCTATCCCTCTAAGGCAGCACAGCCGAGCCAGCCTGGCCTTCCATGGGAGCCAGTCACTCCTCACTCTCCTTGCTGGTCTTTATATGCCATAGAACAAACTGGAAATGTGACTTGGAAGTTACCCAATCTAACTTTCCAAAAATCTCAGAAAAAGTTGGGATCCTAAAGGTTGACCCAATGCACCAAGCAACAGGATAGGATGCAAGAGCAAGAAAACCCAGGTTCTCTGAACATTACCTATCTGGCCGCAGTGTGCTGAAGCTGCTGGTACACAGATGAGTGAGACACAGTTGCTGGCCTACAGAAGACGCACAACAAATGGCAACATGCTGTTTGGTGTTTGGATCTCCTTTCGTCCTTCTGGAGTCCCTAGGTGGTGCAAATCATTAACACGCTCGGCTGCAAACCATAAGGTTGGAGGCTTGAGTCCACCCAGAGGCACTAAGAAGAAAGGCCTGGCAACCTACGTCAAAAATCAGCCATTGAAAACCCTACGGAGCACAATTCTACTCTGACACACAAGCGGTCACCATGAGTCGAGGTCCACTCAGTGACAACTAGAATTCTCCTCTGCCACTTATGAGGTGGACGCCCCACTGCTCACACCCACACAGCTGGCAGTGGTAGGGCTGGGTGCCCACATACCTTTTTAAGGGAGACTTTCAGTGTCTCTGAATGACTCTATGGAGAAAACGGCCATGTTACCTATACACATTCTACTGTTGGTTTGTTTTCTAATACCCATTTTGAAAACTGCAGGATTAAGAGCAAGGGAAAGAGAATCACTGCTAGAAATGACACCCAGCGGGGCAGCTTGAGGAAAGGGGCATTGAATGGCTACCACCAACTTCTCCAAAAAAAGCGAGCCCAAAACCTGGTGTGTACAGGCCCCAAAGACTTCAGTCAATAATTAGAGGACACTCTTATTTAATGAATGACAGTTTGCTACTTATGATGTCTCTGGTTTAGGAAAGGGATCCAGAAGGAGCTTTCTTGATCCAGACCAGAAAAAGGATGTAGCCGACCCCACCCTCCCCTGACTGCATGGACCCCTCTGGCCAGGGAGCAGGAGCCCCTCCAGGCAAACTAGAAAGTTTTGCTGTGTCCTGGAACTTAACGTTCTATCAATGTCCACTGCTGCCGTGGAGTGGAGCCTGAACGAGGACAAAGAGGTCTGGAAGGTGGAATGAAGTCACTTAGCCAGTCCTTTGCATTTTTATTTTTAAAATATTTAAAGTGTGTGTTTTTACTTTTTGTTGCCTGCCAGATTACTATCTTAGAACTCCAGGCTCAAAGGGAGCTTAGGGTAGTTTGAATCAGCCCTCCTTCTGCAAACAAAGAACCTGCTACCCAGAGGAGAGCAGTGGCTGGCCCAGGGTCACCCAGCATCTCAACTGCAGATGGGGCTAGAAGCTCCATCCTTCCCGGCCAGGGCGAACCACGTGCCCCGCTCCCACCCCCAGCCCACCAGAGGGCCGTGCTTTCAAAGGGAAGCTGTATATTGTCTAGTTAAAAATCAGACAAACACAAGCACAGCTCTGATGACTTCCTCTGAATGACACACCAGTGGGACCAACCATCTGGAAAAGAGCTAAGAGGAAGAAAATATAGAGCGGACACTCTCGCTTCATTAAAC